AGCAGGACTTAACAGTAGAAAGGTGCCTGGGAGTCCTGAGGCTTGCCTACAGTGTCTCTTAGGAGCAGTGGTATCCTTGTTTGGAGGCATGGTATCTGTTTTCAGAGTGTGGCATGAGACCCAGTCACAAATCAGTGAGATACTGCCTACCTAATATATATGCCTGAGATTCAGGCATTTCCCCTGGCTGCCTATTTTCCAGCCTGTAATGCCCAGGATGTGTTCCACAGTTGCCTGAAGGTCTCGAGACTAGTCCCTGCCCTAGTGCTCAGCATTTCCCAGGTTGTAGTAAATTTTCTGAAGAGAAGTTTTGCTTTTGACTTGTCTGTCAAAGATAGAGTATTTTTTTAATAGATGGGGTCTTGCTTTGTTGCCCAGACGGGAATGCAATGGCATGATTATAGTTTACTACAACCTCTAGCTCGTGGGATCAAGGGATCCTCTCGGCTTAGTCTCCTGAGTAGCTGGGACTGCAGGCATGAGCCACTATGCCTGACTTTTTCTGTTTTGTAGAGACAAGGTCAGCCTCCCAAAGTGCTGGGATTATAAGCATGAGCCACTGCACCCAGCCTAAGGATAGAGTTTTTTTTTTTTTTCTTTTTTTTAATCTTACTGTGTAAATTTTCAAGCACATAAAAAGTATCCTTTTATGCCTTTAATTTGGTTTCTTTTTGATTGAATTTACTATGAAAACTACTGGCAGTATTTTCTAGAACATTTTAAACGTCAAATAAAATTTTTCTTTAATTTCTGTCATCCGGAAATGTTGTCTCTTTAAGAAATCGACAGGTCTTGGATATCTCAAATGATTTGTATGGATTTTTGCCCTTTTTAAAAATAAATAAAATAAATAGAGATAGGGTCTCACTATGTTGACCAGGTTGATCTTGAACTCTTGTCCTCAAGCAGTCTTCCCACCCTGGCCTCCCAAAATGCTAGGATTACAGGCATGAGCCACCAGGCCCAGCTGATTTTTGCCCTTTTAAGCTCAAGAAAATAGATAAGTTAGCAATGAATAGTTACTGAAAAGAGGAGTGCCATACCATACAACTTGAGGTTCTGTGCATCAGCATTCGAATATCACTATTCTGTCTTACCTGCTCTCAGTGCTGAGATGACTGAGTCTGCTATTGCCTATCAGACCAGCACTGGGCAGCAGACTTTCTTTATGCATAAGAGGCTAGGATATCACGTTGGATGTCTCACTGGACAGGATTGAATGCATGCATGCTTAAGTCTCCCATGTGGTGAATGAGAGTACCCTTGACTATGGTGAATCTCGCTTAGTGCAGCTGCTTGAGTTCTTGGACTCCTTTGCAGCATGAGGATGAAGCTGTGTGAACCAAATCCTCTTTAGGATTAGAGAAGGGTACATTTCCTTATGGGAAGGTGAGAGACTGAGGAGCCCTCATTCTCCCTTGCTGTGACCGCACTGTGGAGCAAACCTCGGTTCAGGTACCCGCTTAGGCCCTATATAATTTCCTGACGTGCTCACTGCTGGTATACAAGATCATACTTGTTTTTGCTGCCACGTTTTTCTTCTCATAGGGAAGCCAAGTTGAGATCAGATCCCAGGAGGGTGAGCACTGTGTGGGGACAGCACATCTTCTTATTCATTTTCTGTATTCTAAAAATAACCCAGTATTCTAGAAGGGAAATCCCAGTTTTATATTTGAAACAATGGAAGAGGATTCACTTTCTTATTTGACTGAGTGCAGTGGCTCATGTATGTAATCCTTGCCCTTTGGGAGGCTGAGGCAGGAGGATTGCTTGAGTCCAGGAGTTTGAGACCAGCCTGGGCAACATAAGGAGACTATTGCTATGGAGTACAAAAAAAAGTAAAAATCAAAAATTTTAAAATAAGATTTACTTTCTTCCTTATGTCCTTATATAGATTCTAGCAGATTGATGAAATTGATAGCAATTTAAAATTTGGGCAATGAGCCCTTGAATTAATTTGAAAGTAGAAATCTAAAGTAAGAGCCTGAAAAATATTAAAACGTGAGTTTGAAACAGAGAGGTTACAGTGGCAAATTTGGAGAGACAAAATTCTCCATAGAAGGCATAGTGAAACCAAATCGGCATTTTTCTCTTCTCATGTCCTTATACCCAGCTATTTAATTTGCATCCAGCCTTTTTGGGGAAAGTCATCTCTTATTGCCGTTTTTCTTTTTCTTTTTTTTTTTTGAGATGGGGTTTTGCTCTTGTTGCCCAGGCTGGAGTGCAATGGCACGATCTCGGCTCACTACAGCCTCCGCCTCCTGGGTTCAAGCAGTTCTCCTGCCTCACCTCCCAAGTAACTGGGATTACAGGCATGCGCCACTAGTCCTGGCTGTATTTTTAGTAGAGACGGGGTTCCACCATGTTGGTAAGGCTAGACTCGAACTCCTGATCTCAAGTGATCCATCCACCCACCTCAGCCTCCCAAAGTGGTGAGATTACAGGCGTGAGCTACCTCAGCTGGCCTTATTGCCGTTTCTCTTTGCCTTTCACTGATAATTCTTAAAATTCAGGGAAGCAGGCCAGATGCGGTGGTTCATGCCTATAATCCCAGCACTTTGGGAGGACAGGGCAGGCAGATCACAAGTCAAGAGATCGAGACCATCCTGGCCAACATGGTGAAACCCTGTCTCTACCAAAAATACAAAAAAATTAGCTGGGTGTGGTGGCACGTGCGTGTAGTGCTTGCTACTCGGGAGGCTGAGGCAAGAGAATTGTTTGAACTCGGGAGATGGAGGTTGCAGTGAGCCAAGATTGTGCCACTGCACTCCAGCCTGGTGACAGAATGAGACTCCGTCTCAAAAAAAAATAAAAAATTCAGAGAAGTTTATGATTTGTAAATCAAACCAGGATGCTGTGAAGATGAACCTTTTGGGGTTTTTTGTTGTTTTGTTATTTTTTAAGAGACAAGTATCGGCCGGGCGCAGTGGCTCACTCCTGTAATCCCAGCACTTTGGGAGGCCGAGGTGAGCGGATCACGAGGTCAGGAGACTCGAGACCATCCTGGCTAACTCGGTGAAATCCCGTCTTTACTAAAAAACAAAAAATTAGCCGGCGTGATGGCGGGCGCCTGTAGTCGCAGCTACTCGGGAGGCTGAGGTAGGAAGAATGGCATGAACCCGGGAGGCGGAGCTTGCAGTGAGCCGAGATCGCGCCAGTGCGCTCCAGCCTGGGCGACAGAGCGAGACTCTGTCTCAAAAAAAAAAAAAAAAAAAGAGAGTATCACTCTGTCACCAGGCTGGAGTGCAGTGGTGCAATCTTGGCTCACTCTCAGGTTCAAGTGATTCTCCTGCCCCAGCCTCTCTGAGTGGCTGGGATTACAGGTGCCGCCACCACGTCCAGATAATTTTTTGTATTTTTAGTAGAGATGGGGTTTCACTGTGTCTTGAACTCCTGACCTCATGGCCATACTGGTCTTGAATTTTTGACCTCGTGATCCGCCTGCCTTGGCCTCCCCAAGTGCTGGGATTACAAGGGTGAGCCACCTCACCTGGCCTAATTTTGTATTTGTAGTAGTGACAGGGTTTCTCCATGTTGGTCAGGCTGGTTTCAAACTCCTGACCTCAGGTGATCCATCTGCCTCGGCCTGCCAAAGTGCTGAGATTACAGGTGTGAGCCACTGCGTCCGGCCTGGCTAATTTCCTTTACATTTTAGTAGAGACAGTTTTCACTGTGTTGCCCAGGCTGGTCTCGAACTCCTGAGCTCAGGCAATCTGCCTGTCTCGGCCTCCCAAAGTACTATGGAGTACAAAAAAAAAAAAAGGTAAAACAGTAAAATTTTTAACGAACCTAACAGTTTATGGTCTTTCTTTCTTCTATCTTTTTATATAATTGTACAGATTGATGAAATCTGAAGCAATTAAAATGCTCTGGTCAATGAGCCCTTGAATTCGAACGTTGAAAGTAGAGATCTAAAGAACAGCTGAAACAAATTAAACACATGCACTTGAAACACAGGTCTACAGTGCAAACATTTGAAGAACAAAATTCCCCATAGAAAGCCATAGTGACACACCAGCGCAGGGCGCGCGGTTCCCAACTATTAGGAGGCCCCGACACCGGGGGTGTGATCACGCAGGTCAGAGGATCGGAGACCCAGTCCTCCGAACACGGTGAACCCTCTCTACTAAAAAAATACAAAACAAAACTAGCCACGCGAGGTGCGGCGGCGCCTGCGATAACCCACACTCGGAGGCTGAAACAGAACAATAGCGCGAACCCGGCGACAGCCGAGCTTGCACTGACCTGAGATCCGGCGCCACTGCACTCCAGCCCTGGCAACACGAGCGAGACTCCGTCTCCACCGAAAACAACAAAAAAAAAAGAAAGCAAGTGAACCCAATTGCATTTCTCTCTCTCTCATCCGCCTTACTAGCCGCCAGCACACCTTCTAATTACCAGGCATGAGCCACTGCCCCTGGCCAGCCTTGTGGTTTTTCTTGTGGTTTTTTTTCTTTTTTTTTTTGGAGACGGCAGTTCTCGGTCTCTGCCGCCGCAGGCGGCAGTGGCATGGCCGGATTCTCAGCTCACTGCAAGCCCGCCTCCCGGTTCACGCCACTTCTCCTTCGCCTCACCTCCGAGAGTAGCTGGGGACTACAGGCGCCGCCACCCGTCGCCCGCCTAGTTTTTTGTATTTTTCTTAGTAGAACGGGTTTCACCGTGTAGCAGGATGGTCTCGATCTCCTGACCTCGTGATCCGCCCGTCTCGGCCTCCCAAAGTGCTGGGATTACAGGCTTGAGCCACCGCGCCCGGCCTGCCTTGTGGTTTTTCACACTGAAAGGGTATATGGTGCTGTGGACTGATGTGACAGGAAGACCAATTAATTTCTGGACTCTCACTTTAAGTTTACCTTGAAGTAGTATGAATACAGGCTTTTTGTAATTTATTTTAACTTACTGAATATGAAGAACATTTATTTCTTGAGAAGCGACCTAAGGCATTAAATAGGGCTTGCTCTTTGCAAAAAGTCAGTAGCATTGTTTCTGCTTCTCTCTCCCAGATCAAGCACTGCGCCTAGCAGAAATTTTACTACCTCTCCAAAATCATCAGCAAGTCCCTATTCCTCAGTGTCTGCCTCTCCCATTGCAAATGGTGATAGCACTAGCACCTGTGGGATGCACAGTTCCGGTGTCAGCAGGGGGTAAGAGCAGGTCCTTTCACTCTGCTTCCTTTCCCTCTGTCCTTTCCCAGGCTGTATCTTGAGAGCTCATCTGCCGCTACACTAAGCATGGTGGGGTTAGAGTTCCTCATGGGAACGTGCTGCATGTAGTTTCTCACTCCATTTCATACCTGTAGTAAAGTGTGCTTCCAAGTTCTGATCTGTGTTGCTTGTCCTCCTGTGAGCTGGTGTTTTCCCCACAGCCTACATCACAGGTAGTCTTAGTGTGGGGCGGGGTGGGGGTCTCTGCATTTGTTTATGAAGGGATGGGCGGGCACATATGGCAGAGTAGTTGTGAAGGGACAGTGCTCAGCTGTGGATGGCCGTGATCCTTTCTCCAAGCATTTCAGGCACACATGCCACATGGCATAGATTGGGGGAAGAGGGCGAATGAGGTGAGGAAGTGTGCATGAACTTTCAGGGCCAGTCAAGCCTGGGTGTGGCCTGGTGGGTGATAGCAGATGCAAGCTCTTGATAACTAAAATGGTCTTCCCTTAAGTCACCTGGCAAAATTAGCATTTGCCAAAGCCTAACAGGAAAATTCAAATAGTGTTTCTTTCCTTAAGGATGTGCTTACCAGCTGCTAGTGTGTCAAGTAAAGGGTGGGGCAGGTCTGGAGGGCAGGGGAGGGGGTAGAGGGAATTTGCATCATGGGCTTACTACCACACACAAGTTCTAGAGGCCCCCATAGGAGCCTCAAAAAACATCTTGAGGGCATGTGTTATACACTTGCTTTTATTGCTGATGTGTGTTGTGTTTTCCAGTGGATCTGGCTTTTCTGCTTCGTATAATTGTCAGGAGCCACCATCCTCTCATATACAACCTGGGCTCTGTGGACTTGGAAACCTGGGAAACACCTGCTTCATGAACTCCGCTTTGCAGGTAGAGGAAAGAACTTCCATTCAAATAACACAGCATCTTGAGGTTTGGGTGGAAGTGGCCTGCAAAGATACTGGGTGGATCCTGTCCCAGGAGTCCCTGCCTACCCCTTGTTAGTGCTTCAGTAGTCTCTGCCAGGGCATCTCCCACTAGGTGGTACAGAATGGCTTCATCAGTGTTTGTGGACCCCAGATGTCTTTGTAGTCAGTTCTGTGTTTGGTTTTATAGTAAGATTATTTTGAATTTTATCGACTGTTTAGGTATGATCTCTCTTTTTTTTTTTTTTTTTTTTTGAGACGGAGTCTCGCTCTGTCGCCCAAGCTGGAGTGCAGTGGCGCGATCCTGGCTCACTGCAAGCTCCGCCTCCTGGGTTCACGCCATTCTCCTGCCTCAGCCTCCCGAATAGCTGGAACTACAGGCGCCCGCCACCGCGCCCAGCTCATTTTTTGTATTTTTAGTAGAGACGGGGTTTCACCATGGTCTCGATCTCCTGACCTTGTGATCCGCCTGCCTCGGCCTCCCAAAGTGCTGGGATTACAGGCGTGAGCCACCGCGCCCGGCCTAGGTATGATCTCTCTAGAAAATATTGGAGTGCATCCCTGATTGGTCTCTGATGGGATGAGGAGAACTTATAGCAGGTGATGCCAAGCTCAATTATGCCTTGCTGAAGGATGACTACCTTTTCACTAAAAATAGCTGTCCCAGCCAGGCGCAGTGGCTCACGCCTGTAATCCCAGCACTTTGGGAAGCCAAGGTGGGTGGATCACCTGAGGTCAGGAGTTCGAGACCAGCCTAGCCAACATGGCAAAACCCCATCTCTACTAAAAATACAAAAATTAGCCGGGTGTGGTGGCACATGCCTGTAATCCCAGCGTCTCGGGAGGCTGAGGCAGGAGAATCACTTGAACCCGGGAGGCAGAGGTTGTAGTGAGCCGAGATTGGACCATTGCACTCCAGCCTGGGCAACAAGAGTGAAACTCCGTTTCCAATTAAAAAAAAAAAAAAAAAAGATAACTGTCCCGCCCCATGCTCCTTACTAGAGAAACTCCAAAATCCCCTATTTGAAACTTGTTTATTGGCCAGGCACAGTGGCTCACACCTGTAATCACAACCCTTTGGGAGGCTGAGGGGGTAGTATTGCTTGAGGCCAGGAGTTTGAGGCCAGCCTGAGCATCATGGCGAGACCCTGTCTCAAAATGGAAAAGAAAATAAACCTTGTTTATTAATTAATCAAATATTTATTGGGCATATATTATGTGACAGCACTGTAATAGTCATGGGCTGCAAGGAGTTAAAGTCCAGCTTCAAAGTTAGGAGGGCACACTCCCCAAGACTACCCTCATTTCCAAAACCAACTGCAAGTTTGCAGGTTTCCAAGACCAGCCTTAGTTTTGATAATTTGTTTAGAAGGAGTCACGGAATTTACTTAGTTATTATACTCATGATAATGGTTTATTGTCGTGAGAGGATGTAGACTAAAATCAGCCAAGGGGAGAGGCATATAGGGCAGAGGTCAGGGGGGTCAAAATGTAGAGCTTCTGTTGTTTTCTACCTATGGAGTCAGTACATGGTACTTTCCTTTTTTTTTTTTTTTTTTTTTGACAGCATCTCTCTCCTCTCTCTGTTGCCCAGGCTGGAGTGCAGTGGCGCAATCTTGACTCACTGCAACCTCCGCCTCCTGGATGTGTTATACACTTGCTTTTATTGCTGATGTGTG